TTATAGACCAGGCTGGTCTCGAACTCACAGAGATCCTCCTGCCTCTGCCTCCCGAGTGCTGGGATTAAGGGCATGCGCCACCACCGCCCGGGTACACTTAGCATGCTTGTGTTCACATATCGTCTATGTGTGCATGTATGGTGCTAGGCATTAAATTCAGGACTTTGCATGCTGTGAAGCACTCCACCCCACACCCACCCATTCATATCTCATTGTATGCACAAGTGCTGGCACAACAGGCTTTTCTACCCAGCTACCAAGTCACAACCGGAAGGTATGGGCAATAGCACCAATGAAATGTATGTTGATTACGTTTGCATTGCAGAATATCTGAGACCAACATAAAAAGAGGAAGAGTTATTTTTGCCAATGATGTCAAAGAATTAGGTCCGTGGTCTCTTGGCCCTGTGCACTTGGCAGAACATCATGGCAGTGGATATGTGTGACTGAGGGACTGCTGTTGGTAGACAGAAACAAAGGGATGCTGGCTCCTGGCTGGTTCTATCTCCCCACTTCCACCTCCCACCTCCCACACCCCCTTCATTCCTTTGGAGTTCCTAGCCCATGGGGTAGTCCACCCATATCCAGGGTTAGTCTTGGTCCTTGGTGAATCCTGCCGGGGAATGTCCTCACAAACACATCTCATCTGGAGGTCTGCTTTCCTAGTCAAGTTAACAGAGAAGACAGATCACTGCCCAAGTGCAAGAGATAAACCACACTTGACCATGCTGACGGTGAGGAAGGGGTGTCCTGCTGCTGTGCTGAGGTTAAAAGTGTTGGGCTTCTTGGGACCTGGAGCTCTGGGCCGTTGCTATGGACTCTTCCAGGGATGAGGCTTTGGGGGTCTCGCACCCTAGTGTCCCCAGGCCCCGCCCTCCGCCTTAGCTTCACTTCTACATTGATTTGGTTTTCTCTTTAGAAAGAGCACAGTTTCTCTTTATTCACTTCTTATAAAACCATTTTCATTTTTCTCCATCTTCAAAGCTACACATGAATAATACAATATTATTGTCCTTTTTTAAGTGAAGTATGTGTTTCTAAACCCATTAGTCAGTTCTCAGTCCCACCTTACTGCATAGGTTGGCAGCATTTAGCATACTGGTTAAGCATTTGACATCTTGGCCAGTAGAAGGAAAAAACGGGATTTCAGGTGATGGGGCAGTGATCTCTGGGGGTGGGGTAGAAGGTGTGATCAGAGTAGCCATCGAGAGCTGTTTGTCCTAGCTGTTCTTCTGAATGTAATCACTTACATGATCAGAATCTGACTTCATGACTAGTGTGCCAGAGACAGCCATGTACAATAGCCCTCAGTCCATGGGGATCCCATGATTCATCACTGCCTTCCACAGCAACAAGCACACAGGGTAGTTACTCCTCCCTAGAAACACACTCATGTTCTCCTCGTTATTTGTACCTTTCCCTGAAGTGTTAAACATTAGCTACAAAAAGGAAGACTAATATATTCAACATTGTACTTACTGTAAAGTGATAGGAAAGCGCCTCCCCCCACTGCCTTTTTTCCCTTGAAACTCAAGGTTTGGGATCACATCAAATGTCACTCGATAGCCCCGATGGTCAGCATAATTTGTTGTGATTCTGTGCAACCTTTTGGGGCTGTGGATTTAGCCATCAGATGAATCCACAGTGGGATCAGCGGTCTCCTTTCCTTGGATATGCTTTCCTCAAGTTCCCATTGCTCTGAGGATGCCTAAGCGAATGCAGAGTGTTTGCACTTGCCCTTAGCTTTTGGAAGGTGGGATTTTACGGTGCTTCTATTCACTTATTTTAACTACAGTTCATCAAAGTGTCGACAGCAGTGATCTTTGATAGCATTATATGAGGCTTTTCAAAAGATTTATTTCATTTTAAACTCTATATACATGAGGGGAGGGTATGTGGATGTAAATGCAGGTCCCAGAAGGAGGCATCGGATACCCCCCCCCCCCCCCGGAGTTACAGGTGGTTGTGAGCCTCCTGTGGGCGCTGGGAACCAAATCCAGGTCCTCTGGGAGATCAGTACCTACTTAATTAACCTCGGAGAAGTCTCTGTAGCCCCAATATTATTATTTAGTTTTTAGGCTTTTTGTTTCTTTTAAATGCTTTGCAAAAGTTTGTGTTTTTTCCCACTGTTGTTTGTTTTTGCATAGCCACCGTGTTATTTTCAACAGTGCCATAGAAAATGTTATCACAGTTTGCTGTGACTGCCTATAACTCACCTGTGGGACAAGTTGTTATCCACTTCCTCATCCCTGCCATTTGCCCTTTGGGCTGTTTCCCCACATTTTCAAGGTCTTTATGGGGAGACCCACCTGTATCTGTGATTGGGTCCTCAAGGAAGTGCCTAGCACACAGTGAGCAGTTGTCATGCTGTTGCTGGTCCACTCGGCTGGACTGCTCCCCACCACCACCATCGCTGTGTGACACCTACAGGGACACTGTCAGGTTCAGGCTCTGGAATGGTTGTGCTCTCTGCCAGGAGGCCAAAGAGAGCAGGAAATGGTTTCTTTGGCAATGTCAGCATGATGACCCCAGGCCTGGCCCACGGGAGTGAATTTTAACAAGCACAGTTCCCAGAACAGAACCTGCAGAGCAAAAGAAAAGCAAATAAGCAAGCAAAAAATAAATAAAGAAAGAAAAGAAAACCCTGTTGGAAAATACACACAGAGATTAAAATAATGTTTGGCACTTACATCACACTTTTAAAATTCTTCAAACGCTTTAGAAACACTGGCTAATTAATTAAGCTGCCTAAATCTGCTTGCAGTTGGGTGAGATCTCCAGAGGAGCTAAAAAAGGAGGGGGGCAAAGGGGAGGAGCCAGCCCTCCCCAGCCCAGATTTTATTGTCACCTGCCCGGGGTGTGATTACAAGCCTCTGGCTGCACCACAAGAATAGCCCTGCTCCAACTTGTCAGCTCCCAATTCCCAAGTTCCTCCTGAGCGTAGCTCCTTCGTCAGCCGCTGACTCACAGCTCTGTGTTCAGTTGAGGATGGGGATAATGATAACAGAGCACCAGCTCCGGGTCACCAGGGTTAGCTCTGCTCAACTGATGATGGAAGAGGCCCGGGGTTGTGCCAGGGTCACAGAGCAAATAAAACCCGTACTTTCTCAGCTCATCAGTGTGTTGTTTCAGCATAGACGTGTTTTGGGTACCCAGTCTCCCTGGCTGGGCTGAAAATCACAGAGATCCACGTGCCTCTCCAGCCTGTTTCTATTGAGGACACAGTATATACCAGGCAGGAGGCTAGACAGTACTTCCTAGTAGATCTACCATCCTAATGGTGGAGAAAATAACAGTCCACAGCAAATCAGATACATAAAGAATACAGCAATGAGATGAGAGGGTTAAGAACTTGAATTAAGCCAGCAAGTATACAGCAAGAGCTTATGCATAGCTCTGGAACAATCTTCATGACAAAGCAGAGGGCAGATACCATTTCCCTGCTTATGTCTGATTGAATGGGAGTCCACTCATGAGTACCCAGCTGCCAAAGAGGGCCTGTTCTCGCCCAGGCCTGTGCTTCATGCAAGTGGTGGTTCCAGTTCAACCGGTCTCCCGTGGTTCACTGTAGACACACTGGAATGTTCATGGCTCCCTGCTATTGGCCGTAGCTGGTGATGTCATCGATGCCCTTGGGAGGCTTCCTGTCTCTTCAAGCCTGTTCCCTCCTTGTGTGAGTCACTTGCCTGTCATTGGCCTACCTTCTAGGCTGGCCAATGCTGCCTGAGCCCCTGACTTCTCTAGTTCTCATTTCTTCCCCTGGAGTGTGAGAATCAGGCTGTGCCCAGGCTGGTTCTGCAGACTCTGCTCACACCTGGCATGAAAAGTGGCCCTCAAGGGGATCCCTGGCTGGGGAAGAGGACGAGACAAGACAGTGAGCAACAGATGACAGGCCTATGCCAAGGCCCTGGGTACCTGCAGTGAGAGCAGAGCCGATCAATCCATGGAGCTCTCTTGCCTTAGGCGCTCTTGCCTTGCCAGTGCAACAATATCAGGCCATGGGCTAACATACAATGTCTCTTTTACTGGTTCAGCATAAGAGGGCCTGGTAAAAGATTCTGCTACAGCCCTGTCAAATAGACAGGTCACATTAGAAGCCAGTGGACAGTCCAGCTGAGACCAAGATCACCTGACTCACTGTTCCTGCTGTTGTCATCCTCCTCATCCTGTCTTGGGTCACCCTGTCTCTAATGTCTGTGTGTTCAAATGCTCATGTTCCACATCCACACATCCAGCAAGCCATCACTCAGGAAAGTAGTGGGGCCACTGTGCTTGGATGGCAAGGGTTTTATCCACTGAGATACCCCTCAGCCCCAAATGCTGCCTTTTAACATGCTCATTGGCCTGAACTTGTTTGTTTCTGTCAGAAGTTCATTAAGATGGGCTCATGGTAAACATTTTACAGACGAAGAAATGAAGGCTAGGGACCATAAATAGCCCAAGCTGAAGCCACACTCACACCCCTGCAGCTCTTGACAGTGGGTGAGCACCTAGGCCTTCTCTGTCGACCTACTGAGGGCCCCCAGTGATGCAGCCACATGCTACTGAGCCCCACCTAGGGCCCGAGTTCTCAGCTCTCCTACCACCAGACTGCTGAGAGCAACTGCTCTGCCAGGACTTGCTTTCAAGCACAGAATCTACCTCTTTGAAAAGCACCACACACACCAGGGTCTCCTACTTCTTCATCTCTACCAAGTTTGTTCCCTCAGTGGGGAATCCAGGCTCCCATTCTAACCGAAAATTTTAGATTTGAATTCCAGAGCCCAGCTCAGACGTGACACTTCCCCAAAGGGCTTGGACACTCTGCTACACTAAGCTGTGTGACTTAGCACTCTGTCTTAGTTTTCTTGTCTTGAGTTACAGGCCCTCATGGGGATTAAACATGATAACGCATGCAGTGTGCTGAACTCAACACCGTTGTGTGTGCTCAATCAGTGAAAATCACTGATGGACTTGCAGGATCCCTTAAGGTGAGTCATAGCTGCCATCTGTCTTTTCAGGAGCCACAACCAAGGACCTGAAGGTGATTCAGCCTGAGAAGTCAGTGTCTGTTGCTGCTGGGGATCAGGCCACGCTGAACTGCACTGTGACCTTGCTGTTGCCTGTGGGACCCATTAAGTGGTTCAGAGGAACAGGGCAAAGCCGACATCTAATCTACAGTTTCACAGGAGAAAAGTTTCCTCGAATTACAAATGTAACAGATACTACCAAGAGAAACAACTTGGACTTTTCCATCCAAATCAGCAACGTCACCCCAGCAGATGCCGGCACCTACTACTGTGTGAAGTTCCTTAAAGCAGAAGCTGACAAGGAACTTCGGTCTGGAGGGGGAACAGTGCTCAATGTGCTTGGTGAGTAAGCCTGTGCCTTCTTCATCCCCTGGTGTGTAGCATCATGTCAGAGGAGAGCATCCCCTATCCCGTGAGTGTGGCTCATAGCAGGTGCAGTGGAGAGCGTGGTCATCATCTGACCTCAACCTCCGGCAGATTAGGGTAGCCAAAGCCAGTTGTTTGCTCCAGGCTCCAGTGCCAGCAAGTAAGAGGACATCTGCACCCTCATCCACCTGCCCCACGGCCCTCTCTTTTCCTTGCACATGGGTCACGCTACCAGTGAGTGCCAGAGTGTAGACCAGAATGCAGATCCCAGCCAGGCTCCTTGCTGCCCAGGCACTAAGCATCTCCATAGATGAGCCAAGAACACGGAGGTGCTGAGGAAATGCTGAGCCTTGAGGAGATGCTGAGCCTTGAGGAAATGCATCACTTTCACAGAGATTCGGATGCCCCTTCCCTTTAAAACCTGAGGTCTGTTAGTGACAGGAAAACCTCTGCCAAATGTCGTCCAGGTCCTTACTCCATATCAGGACACTAAGGGCCATTGTGTAAATGGCTGCATTTTACTCCAGCACCTAGATATTCCACAACTTATTGTAGTCTTCTGTTGGTAGACAGTTCCGTTCTTCCCAGCTGTGGAGTTTGAAAACAGTGCTGCCCTGGATGGCTCAGCCCACATGTCTAGGGCAGAGATACCCATTGCAAGAAGCCTACTATATCACATAATGTGTTCCTTTTAATTTATGTGGATGGTACCAGTTTTCCCTCCAGGTAGCAGCCAACTCTCCTCGCCATCCACCCCTGCACAGAAGCAGGGCAGGTAGCTTGTCCTGACTTTGTAAGTATGACAGAGAGCCCTAGATGGGGTGCCAGGGTCATTACTGAGTATCAGAAGTACAGTGGCCATGAGGACAGGGGACAGAGTCTAACTGTCTGGAGCCATATTCCAGATAAGCCACTCCCTTGCCTTTGTCCTGGACAAGCCTCTCCACACATCACATTGGTGGCCTCATCTGTCCATGACACTCTCACCGAGTGTGTGGTCAGGACTGAAGCAGTGACATCATATCAAACACATAGAACAGTGTCTGGCTTGTAGAAAATATCCCATCAGTGGGAAATGTGTTGAGCTGTATCCATGTGACCTTGGGTGGGCCACTTGCCTTTCCCAGGCCTCAAGTGTTGGTGGGGTTGTGATGAGTTGGTGGCTTTCCATCTGTCTGCTTGCATGACTCATCTATGAAACTTAAAAAAAAAACCCACATATCTCATATCTACCCTAGAAATTCTGCTGTAATTGGCTTGACATGGATCTGAAGTGTGTGTGTTGTGTGTGTGTGTGTGTGTGTGTGTGTGTGTGTGTGTGTGGTCACACCTACCTGTGTATGAGCAGAGGACTGAGGAGAATGTGTAGTGTCCTATTATATTACTCCCTGCCTTACTCCCTTGTGACTGGGTCTCTCATTGATCCTGGAGCTAGGTTGGAGGCCAGCAGACCCCAGTGATCCTTTTATATCCTCACCGCTCCCACAGCACTGGGGTATAGGCACAACCATCATGTTCAGCCTTCTTTTATTAAAAAAATATTTTTTCACTTTACATACCAACCCAAGTTTCCCCTCCCTCTCCTTCTCCTGCCCCACTTCCAACCTCCCCGACCATCCACTCCTCAGAGGGATAAGACCATCCTGGGGAGTCAAGAAAGTCTGCCATGTCAAGTTGAGGCAGATGTCCAGCCTTTTTAAAACATGATTCTAAGGATTTGAACTCAGGTCCTCATACTTGCTCAGCAAGTGTCTTACCTTCACATCCATCTCAACTGCTTGCATCTGAAGTTTCTCACCACAGCCAGGCTGCGATACATGTCTTGAAACCACAGGAGAGATGCTATGACTTTTCTTTTTCCCCTGGCTAAGCTGTTCCCCCATGAAGCCAATGCTCAGAAAGCTTTATTCCTCAGCATTGCTCTCTGGGGCCCATGATGAGCAGAGACATGTCCAGGGGCCGGCCCCAGGGGATTGGAGATGCATCCCACACAGTCCTGCCAGCTGCTCAGACCCCTAGGAGAGGGACACTCCTCTCTCACACACATCACACATCTGTGTCTGAACAGAGCCAAATAAATCCTGTCTTCAGCACAGACCTCCCTGCCTCGATTGGCCCCCAAATGTCACAGTCTTTCTCAGTGCTCCAACCTCCCTAAATGGCTTCTCTGGATGAAACACCTGTGACCCCACTGAGGTTTTGAAGCTGCTGGCCTACCTTAGGTCCTGAGGGATTACTACAGAAGAGAAAAGTGCCACGATGGTGGTGGCTTTATTACGCCTTCTGGCTTCCAAAAAAGAAATGTGTAGTCTCAGAGCTAAAGTGAGTAGCCATGGCTGTTATTTATTAAGCACCTACTGTATGCCAGAAGTCATGTTTACATCATCTTCCCAGGGTGAGGATTTTGTCCACTTTGTGCAGAGGATGCCCTGATGCACAGAGGAATTTTTTTAAATACTAAACTAATCATCTGATTGGAAGAGATGAGTCTCACCCTTATGTGCCTTTGGCCAGTCACACTATTCTGAGCCTTGTCCTGCAGAAGGAGTTCATCCTAGTTACCCTTCTATGGCTGGAGAGCGCAGAGGGAGCAACCAGTGTCAGCCCCCAAGAACTCAATAGATAGCAACTTCAGTTGTTTCTCAGTACCCATGGGATACCCAGATCCAAAATTGTTCAAGGCCCTCGTCCAAGATGGGGGAGATTTGCGTGTAACCTACACACATCCTGCCATCTATTTTAAGTCATCTCTGGATTTCTTATAATACCCGATATGATGCAAATGCTATGTAAATAGTTGTTCTATGTGTTGTTTAGGGAATAGTGACAAGAAAAAGTCTGTTACTATTCAGTATAGATGCAGCTTTTTCAGCAGTCTTTCACATTTGCAGTTGGTTAGATTTAAGCACAGGGAGCCCCTGGGGTCAGAAGGATGACTCTGCATCCCTTCACTTCTTTAGGATCCTAAGCTGCTGGTGTCTTGATGATGTGACTTCTTCCAATGGCATCCTCCTTTCTGTGCCCTCAACATATTAGGTGGATATTAGGGAGGAAGTTATGTGTTCACAAATGGAAAAGTGGCATTTGCTGTCTGAAATGCTGGTTGATGAAGAGCAATTTGAATTAATATCCAAGGGACACCACCTCCCTCCTAGTCACCCATGTGTTCTTTCAGGACCAGAAATGCTTCTGCTTCCTTGGTGGGGCTGCTCGCTGTCTGTCTGGTCACTATCTGGCTCTTTAATAATCCATTAGAAATCAAGAACCACCTTTGACTTTCTCAGCGCACAGTGATCTTTATTTCCAACCTGAAATAAAGCCCTCCAGACTGAAAAAAAAAGAAAAGTTCCCAGCCTCTCTCTTTCAAATGTGGAACTTGGAATGAGTGAGAGCTACTAAGATGTATAGAGTGAGAAGAAACACCATTCAGTGAATCCCTAAGTTCTTTAGGAAATCTTAAGAATAAAGTCTAGGGCTGGAGAGAGAATGGTTAAAAAGCTTGTACCGCTCTTGCCAAGGGCCCTAGTTCAGTTCCTAGCACCCACATCGGGCGGCTCAGCTCCCGGGGATCCAGTGCCTTCTCTGGTTTCTTTAAGGAACCCACTCACATATGGACATACTTAAAAACTTATTTTTTTAAATATAAATCTGGGTCAATGACAGATCCATGTGTCTTCATGTTTGAGAAGCATCTCTGTGTGTCTGTCATCCAAACCTCACTGCATCCAAAAGGAGAAACATTGCCACCCATTCTCAGGTATAACTCTGGGAGGTGCGCACATATCTGAGCCCATCGGGTTCCACCTTTGTGGCTGTCCTACAGTGTGATTTGTTTCCTATGTTTACGTCTGCAAATACTTTCTCTGGGTTGGCAGAGCTTCCAGGAATGCAGTTAGGAGTAGTTAAAGCAAAGAATGAGATAGGTCAGCAATCTCGTGTATGCCCAGATCATGGAAACCCTCAGTGCAGAGAAGACTTAGACCTCAGGTCTGGAGTTCCTGGCCTTGCCTTACTGTCTGATTCACTCATTTTGTGGAACCTTTGCATCCTCCTCAGACAGGAGGCTAAGGACATGGCCATCCCAGCTTTGTCAGGATGAAGATTAATGAATAGTGTCATTAGGCTGGAGGTACAGTTTAGCATTAGAACATGTACTTAGTGTGCATAAAGCCCCGGGGCCAACCCCTAGTGCTCCAGTAATGATGACGATATCTAGGCGGGTTGCTTACACCATCACTGCCTTTGCCTGGCCTTCACAATCATATCTCTTGTCTATAAATGCTCCTCTAGCCAAACCTTCTCCACCCGTGGTACTTGGCCCAGGAGGCAGGGTCAAATCTGAACAGAAAGCGAACTTCACCTGCAAGTCTTTTGGCTTCTCTCCCCGGAATATTACCCTGAAGTGGTTCAAAGATGGGAACGAAATCTCCCACTTCCAGACCACCGTGGACCCTCAGGGAGAGAGCGTCTCCTACAACGTCTCCAGCACAGCCCAGGTGGAACTGAACACCGGGGATGTTCGTTCTCAGGTCATCTGCGAGGTAGCCCATGTCACCTTGAAAGAAGGCCCTCTTCGTGGGACTGCAAACTTGTCTGACATCATCCGAGGTAGATGTCCTTGACTAGTAGCCCAAGCATACAGCAACCATCACCCTATGACTAGCGCCATGCTGGTAGTTGCATTTATTTTATCAACAGCAACAGCAATTGCTGGGCACCCGCCCCCCCCTCACCCGCCCCCCTTACCTGGTAGTTTCGTTTATTTTGCATTCCCACTCGTACTGGAAGATGCATGCATTGACTTCATTCATTGCCACCCTAACAGTAGCTACCAGTCCCCAGACCAGGCACCCACTGTGTTCTGGGTGACCCCTTTCATATTCAGGCCCCAGTAGCCGATGCATGCCTAGTAGTCCTGTGTTTGCTGTGGTGGGAGAGGCTCAACTCTACAGCCCTTCCTCTGCAGCTTAAGATTAGAGCTTCTGCCTGTACTATTTCAGTTTCACCCAGCCTGGATGTCACCCAACAGCCCACAATGGCAGAGAACCAGTTGAACGTCACCTGCCACGTGCAGAAGTTCTACCCTAACAAACTCAAGCTGATCTGGCTGGAGAATGGAAACATATCGCGGATAGAAAATTCCTCTATCCCAGTGAACAACACCTATAGCCAGACAGTGAACAAGGATGGGACCTATAACTGGACAAGCTGGCTCCTGGTGAACAAATCTGCCTATAGAGAGAACGTGGTGTTCACATGCCAGGTGGAGCATGATGGGAAGCTAGTAGGCACCAAAAATCATACCGTGCTGATCTTGGCCCAGCAGAAGGAGCCAGGCATGGACACCACTCCTGGTGAGGTTTCCAACTCCCACTGGCTGGCTTTTTTTGTCTTTGTTTTTAACTTTACCTTGATGTTATCTGTTTTTTTTTAATGTTATCTGTTTTTTAATGCTAAAGTCATATATAATGCTTATTATAGAACTGCCTAAAAGTCTATAAACTAAGCACAGTTTCAAAGTGGGATCCTCTTCGCCAACTGTCATACCCCTAGAGTTTGGTTCCTGTCCTGTTGGGTCTTTTGACACAAAGAAGAGGGAAAGGCAAGAGGCCCGGTCTTTGCTTGCATCCTACCCCCTGTCTTCTTCACCTAACAACTGCTTTGTCCACGTTGCCCCTCCCTACCCCTCACTCTTTTTGGCCTTTGCTCCTTGCCCTGTGCTTATTGTGCCTCCTCCGCCTCCCATAGATGCTGGGGTTTGGCTCAAGGACGGCCAGTCCTGCAAAGAGCATCATCATTCATACTGTCTCCAAACGGCTATTTCCATGAGACAGCTTTTCCATGACTTTCTAGAACAAAGTGTGTGTTTGTGTTGGACAGTGCCGTGCTCCACGGTTCTGTGACAGAGTGTCAGCAGTGTCACCTCAGTCCCTTGAGTCAGTCAAGAGTTCTTCCTTTTGAAAATGGCCGCACACACTAGCTTTGTGGCTGTGTCCCATCGTTTGCCGCCACCACCACAGCTGATGTTTTGTGCATAGCCGAGGTTCTGAAGGGAAGAGAACAGAGGCCGTTTTCTCACTCATCCTTCAGAGACAGTCCAGGAAACCCTCAGACCTGTCTTGTACTCCTTTGATTTACCCATGCTTGATTCTCATAGGACGCATAGAACTTGCAGGTAGGAAGTGTTGATGTCCACAGTGGCTCTATCACTCACTGACTTGCTGTGTGATCTTGATCAAGTCGGTATCTCTCTCTGAGCCCCTGCTTGTTGTGGACATGTTGAAAGGGATAGATTTTTGTCACTCCTCAGTTGGTAAGGGACGTGACTGTCTTATTCAACACTGTAGCTTCAGAGCATACAAAACATAGTAGGGAATCAATAAATAAGCACCTTGAGAGAGGATGGAAGGTTGGGCAGGTGGTTTGTTAAGTCGTCCTTGGTGCTGTAGAATGAGGTAGAGATTAATACTGGCCTTGATAATAGAGGAAACCATCATGGGAACATGGTTCCACGGATGTGGGTGAGGACAGGTTGGGGCACTTCTTTGAGTTCTCATTTCTGTGTCACGGAGCCCTGCTTTTGACAGTACTGGTCTATGGTCTAGAACCTGCCTGGACCCTGCCATGAGCCACACACACACACACACACACACACACACACACACACACACTCTGTGGATTAGGTCCTAGGCACAGAAGGTGTGGAGCCCTGTGTGCTCTGCAGAGCCCATGCCAGCAGCGTGTCCTTCACTCCCACCATCTTCCCTGACCCTCCACGTGACAGTCACTGACTTGGTTTCCAGTGGATCTGTCCTGCGGCCGTGGCAGATGAGAAGCGATGGTTTTCCATTCCTCGGGACTGGGAGTATGGTTTCTGCTGGTATCCTGTAGCTGCTTTCTCTGTGGCTGCTAGCAGTGTACGTCTGCACTGCTCCCGAGTGGCCTGCATGGGTGGGTAGGCAAGCTAGTCTAAGGAGAACCATCAAGATGCCCACAGCTAAGGGGGACTGGTGAGAAAGAGGTGGGATTTCTTTTTTTTTTTTTTTCTGTTTCTGAGGTGCATATCTGAAGCCCTTCTTCCTTGTCCTCAGATAATGACTCTTCCAGCCAGAACATCTTCATCGCTGTGGGTGTGGTGTGCGCTCTGCTAGTAGTCCTGCTGATGGCAGCCCTCTACCTCCTCCGGATCAAACAGAGGAAAGGTGGGTGGCATCTCTGCTTTCTCTCAGGGTGGTCCTTCTCACAGGGTGGCCACTGGCTTCTTAAGCATATGTGACTTCCAGTGACAAGAAGACTAGAGGGTAGTCCTGGGCCTGATGGAACAGTTTCTCCATGCTAGAGTCTGGGAGAGTCACACCTCAGCCTTCCTCCCTCACGGACCCAGGTCTCATGTCCTCATGGGATCGCTACTAAGGTAGCAGGAAACACAGAGCTGCCAGGGTGACAAGGGGGGACCTCAGGGACTCTTCCTGCCAACCTCAGAGAGGAAATGCCTGAGCTGTCTGCAGCCTTCATGTGTGCAGGTCCCATGTTAGCAGACTCCCCTTATATGTGTGCAAGTTCCGTGTTAGCAGAGTCCCAGTTGGCTCTCCCATCTACCGCCAAGGGAACCAAAGTGGGAGAGCTGGCAGTTTCCATAGAAGGTATTAGGCAAGTGCCCGGATATACAACACTTAATAAAGGCAGCTCCTACAGCCAGTGTCATATATAAGCCTCTCCCAGGAAAGCACCCACGCAGCAGCAAGGTACATGGCCTTCAACTCCACAGGGGAAGCTGCGAGTTCCAGGCCAGGCCATCTTTCTGTTGTGTGTGGTTATGGCTGTGCAAGGCCTCTGACCCTGAAGCCAGCAAACAGACTCCAGACCCTTTTTCATAATCATCATCTCAGCCTCCACCTGCTTCCCCTCCCCCATCTGAGATTGCTTTAGTGTTGTATTTGGCCACAGCAACAGTAGAGGAAACTGGTGGGGAGCACACAGTTCATCTGACTTGTTCGAGGTCACGCTGCTAATTAGGGGCATTGATTTGGAGGGTAGCTATGAGGCCCAAATGAACTGCTGTGTAATAGCAGGTCTGCCACGTTCTGGGACTTAACCAGTACAGATCTTCTTCACTCTGCTGGAGAAGACTGTTTTGTTATGGGTTTCCATAATGTTTAAAGATATAATATTTTATATCTCAACTCAGTACACCCATTTATATCAATGTAGAACTCTGAGATCTTCTTTTTTATATTCTGTTCTCTTTGCTGTTAAAAAAAAAAAAATGCCAGGTGTGACCCTCATAAACCACAGCCTGAAAACAAGCACCGCCAGAGCTGCCATTCTGTAGCTGTGTGTCTACCTAGGAGGGAAAGTGTGGCCCACCAGTCTCCTGTCCCTTCGGCACCCCTCCATCCATGTCCCACAGTTTCTGTCCTGCCTGGACCAACTCAGAGGACTCATCTCTGAGTCAGCAGCCAAGCCTCGAGTCCTGTCTGAGGACTTGAGTCCTCGGTTATTTTTGCCTGACTGTTCCCAGAATGCCTTGAGGGGGCACACAGGAGGAGCCCCTGCTCCACTCGAGGTGGTAGACACTGGTGAAATCCCAGCCGTCCTGCCAGAGGTCCAGCACTGGGTATATGCAAGCTCCTCATGGGAGCTCATTGATGCGTGGTTCAGCATCAAGGCCTAAGAGATCAGAGGAGGACTAGCAAGCAGCCTGGAGGGCTATGAACACAGGAGACCAGCCAGCCCCTGAGTGGTTTGGGGCCCAGCTCCCAAACACAGGCTCAAGCAACAGAGATGGCCAACATGTGCTTCACCTGGGCCCACAGTGTCCCTGATGCTTTGCATGTAATAATGGGATCGATTCTCACCACAGACCTTGGGGGTCTCACCGACCCATTTTACAGATGAGACGGAGGCATGCAGCATTATAAAACTTGTTCAGAACCTCATGGCTGGTAGGCCAGAATTCAGAACCAGAAAGCACATTAGGATCTCCTCTCCATGCCACACTCCCTCCCTGTCTCCCGATCCTGGATGCATTCCCGGTGAAGGACCCCTTTTTACCTGCCAGCTTTGTGGGTCTAAGAAGGTATCATAGCTTGGTTTAAAATGAGGACAGTCTCTGTCCTTGGACTCCCAAAGACAACTGTGCCTAAGACTTGGGTCCAGGGCCCTCATTCAGATATGGCATGCTGGCTGCAGCCCCCTCTACACCTGCTCTCCTGTAGATCCAGTTCCTGGGAAGTCCCAGCCTGCCCCACTCAGCTGCCTGGGCTCATTGTCCTTGGGTGGCCCATGCAAAATGCAGGGCTGAGCCTGTCTCAGCACATATATTGTTTCTTAGTTGTAATTTAATAATAAAGTGGGAATCAAACTGCTGTAGATATAAATAATATAATCCCTCAAAGTTAATCTGTGAGATGCCCTTCCTACCTCACAGACCTAAAAACACTGAAGCAGACAGCGGCTTTCTTAGAAAGTGAGGCTAGGTAAATAATGGATGCCCCGTGAGTTAAAGAAGTTCACAGACAGCAAATGACCCACCCAGGGTCACACAGTAGGTTAGTTGGGAGCAGGACTGGGCTTTACACCTGCTCCCCATCTCAAATTCTTGTTTAAATCTACTGTCCAGTAATGTGGGACCTCATTGGGGTCTGCCAAAGTAACTTGCTTGAATGGAGAGGGGACCCAGTGGAGCATAGGAAGCCACCTGGGGCCTCGGAGGCTGAAGGCTACGACTATTGGCATCTTACAAAGGGGGAATGCAGTAGCCTAGCTTAGCCCTCTGGCTTTTCCCTGGAATATGGTGGATGATGGTAGACCATTTACTGGCTTGGCATTAAGGCCTTCCCTGAGCTAATCTCCCCATGTCCCTAAAGCAAATCTTGGCTTAAGGAAAGTTACACATTGAATTGTTTCTGGTTAAATAACCACTTTTTCTTTTTCTCTTTCAGCCAAGGGGTCAACTTCTTCCACAAGGTAAGCACATCTGTGGACCAGAACACTATCGTAGTCACATTTTATTTTTAAATCTGTGTGTGCGTGTGCGTGTGCGTGTGCGTGCATGCGTGCGTGCGTGCGTGCGTATGTGTGTGTGTGTGTGTGTGTGTGTGTGTGTGTATGTATGTGTGAACACATGTGTGCTGCAGTATGCATCCGAAGGTCAGCAAACACCTTGGTCCTTGCTCCACCTGGTTTGAGATGAGGTCTCTGGTTCTACTATGTATGCCAGGATAGCTGGCCAATGAACTGGGGGCTCTCCTGTCTTCATCACCCATCTCCTCTTAGGATCGCTGGGATTACAGAGAGACTTAAACTGCCTCATCTGGCTTATGTGGGTTCTGGAGTTCTGAACTTGATCTTCAGACACAGCAGGCACTTACCCACTGAGCCATCTACGCAGACCACCCCCCCCCCTTTTTTTAGTTATCTGACAGACCCCAAAACACTATAAATCACTGACCCTGGATCAGACCTGTCCACATTCCTTTCTCTCTTGTTCCCTCTCATTAGGATTGTTTTTAATTATTGCCTGAAAGGAGTAGGTTTCAGGGCACATTGGCGTTGATAGCATGGAGCCTTTGTCTAATCCCCAGTGACAGTGACAGGGGTAGCCTCCTTCCTTACTCCCCCTGTGTTCATGAAATCCTGCACACTCCACTAAGGCCTGGACTCATCTCTCCAGGCCTTAGCCATGACCCCGCACTTACTTCTGCCAAGAACCTTACTAGAAGGTAGCCTGAGGACCTGCTACGGTAGTAGGGGAAGTCCTTCTGAGGTGACAGCCTGCTCAGGAGCTCAGGTGGTGACATCACAGGACACCTTAATGCAGTTTTTTATGTTCAAGGGGATTAGTTGCTCAGCTCTGTTCTAGGAGCTGGGGTACAGCTTCAGACTTCCCCAGGTTCAGACTTGGGGAAGTAGTGAGTGTGGAAACAGCCATCCAGAGTATGGTGGCTCTAACACAGCAGGGATGGGTGGCCATGTATGGCTTAGGCAGAGGAAGCCACAGTCTCTGAAAAGACATATGAGCAGGGACCTGAAGCCAGGGACTCTATGGCAAGCTTAGTATGCTTGGACAAGAAAACAGGTAGAGCTGAACCTGGAGCAGGGAGACCCAACTGACTGAGGCACAGGAAGGCAAGAGATGAGGACATCCACGCAGCCAAGTGTCACCCCTTTTGGAGAAAGCCTTTTCTGGCTCATATATGGGTCCTGGTGCTCTATGGGCAGCATCCCATAGACTGTTGTGTGAATGTGCCAATGTGCTATATAAAACCGTAAATGGTTTCATGTTGGTTCGGGTTAGGTTGTGCTATCACATGCACAGGTCTTTCCTTCCTTACTCCGTCATTTGCTCTCTCTCTCTCTCTCTCTCTCTCTCTCTCTCTCTCTCTCTCTCTCTCTCTCTCTCTCTTCCCTTCCTTCTGGAGTTCAGAATTGAACTTAGGGTCTGGAGTGGAAGCCAGTACTATAGAGCTTGTGACTGTAGAAGGACTTGGGTGATTCTATGAAGAGATGTGATCTAGCTTTTGTTTGACAAGTGTCACCTTCTCTGGCTAGGCAGCCGGTGAGGTGGAAGCAAAAAGGCTAATGAGGAAATGACTGCAGCTCTCTAAGCAGATGGTGACGGCTTGGGCCAGGTGGAGTGTGGGCTAAGATGTGGTCAGATTCTGGTTGTATTCTAAAGACAGAGCCAAGAGGACTTGCTGGTAAACGGAACGTAGAGTCAAGGACAACTGGCGTTTGGGGACAGTAAGGCTTCTGTCCTGGCTAGAGGACCATCAGTAATGGGAATTGTGGTCACACATAGCAGGAGCACCTCGCCTACTTCCAGGGGCCCTGGGGAGCTTCAATCTGCCTCTGTCTGCCCACTGAGAGAGTACACAGTGCCCTTGGGATGAGCCTTGCCTCCTGTTTTGGTCTCCCTGTCCAAGCCTCCCAACCACCCCCACCACCCTCAGGAATCCTGTCCTCTCACACTTAACTCTGCTTGTTATATTCCTTCACCTGCTACAGTCTTCAAGGACAAGGCATGTCTGTCTCCTCTGCTCCAAGACCTTCACTTGCTCTCTGTGGGCCTTCAAGCTTAAGTCCAAAGGCCTTATGGCCTGGCCCTTGCGCTTACACACAGTTAGTTCTGGCCAACCTTGAGGCTTCACTCTGGGCCTCTTTTCTCTCCTGCCACATATAGGGCCCTAGATTTCCTCCTAGCCCATTCTCACTGGCCTCTTCCACACATGTACCCTCCAGGGGCTCCAAAGGATATGGGGACACCGTGGGTCCTGCAAACAATACCTCTGGAGTTGTGCACCATAGTAGCTAGAGTTGCCATCTTTCTTTCACCTGGTCCCCTCCTTCAATGAGGCCAGTACTTCCTCTTGTCAGGAGGCTTCTTGTGAGCCTCTGGTGCCCTGCATAAGCATCCTGGTATGATGAAGTATCTCTAGCTCGTCTCCGTTTTCCTGACCATAGCTCTTTGAACACAGGGACTGTGTCCCTCCTGCTCACAGCCAGCAGCTCCTGCACTTGGTACCATCCCTGGGATGGGATAAGTTTTGCATAAAGGCTTGTCGAAAGAAAGAGTGAGTGAATAATTGTCACCCCCACCAGTGCATTGCCTGTGAGCTCTGAGCCCCTGCAATGCCTTCCCCATGGAGGGGTCGCTGTCTAGTTGGACGCTGTTTTTCACTTGTCTTACTTTGTTAGACAGTGTAGTTCTAGAAGACAAAGTGGCATCACAAAGAGATTGACAACGGCAACCACAGCTTCTGTTTAGTGAGCCCTTGCGATGTCCCAAGGCCCTTCTGTCCCTTTACTCATATTATCCCACTGGTGGTCATGAGTTGTTATTCCTATCCTTGTTGAAGGACAGTGGTTCCCAGACTTGAGTGTAGCTGAAGCCTCGAGCGCTGTTAAATACAAACCAAAGCTGAGCCTCTGATTCTGACTCCAAGGCCACCCTTTGGGAGCCTCTGTCTCAGGAGGTTATTATAGTCTGCCTGCTGTGGTGGAGGCAGCCAAGATCTGAGAATGCAACGCAATGCCGGGCTGCCCCAGGCCTGTACAGAGCTTCTGGTACCGACACCTGCTTGTACCCATTGATCCTCGGCAGCATCCCGCCGTCTGTTTCTTCCTCCAGAGAAGCAGGACGTTTTCAGTCCTTTCATGTCATTCCAGTGTGAGCCTACCCAGGGAGCTAAATGACTAGCTTCTTTCATGTCTCTAGACCAAAGTGATGGTGGGTAGCAAGCCTTAATGGTGGTTTCCTGGGCAGCAGTGGCTCCGGCCCAGCATGGGATCAAATACTTTCTGAAAGACACTGGTGCTGGTGTAGGAGACAGCCTAGCACCTCAGAGAGGGTGACTGACTGACGGGGATCCTGCGCCTTTGAACTCAAAGGGCCCTGAAGGCTGCTGGCTGGCCACGGGCCCAGCCTCTGACATACAGGCAGAACACTGTTATCACCACCCATACAAGAGTGTCGTCTGCTCTCTTATTGGACACTGGGGTTCATTTGGACGGCCATTGTTTAAATATGACGCATTCACTACATTTATTCTCAGAATACCAGGACTACCCCGATTGTTCATTTATTTGTGCAGATTGAGCTCAGCTTGGAGTCAGACTCAAGGAATTCAGTGAGAAAACACTCAGCCATTCATTCAGCCGGTGTTTATGGAGGGAGTATAAGCCTTGAGCTAGCCCGGGGCTAGGTGCTAGGGTTTCATAGTCTTTGGGGAGGCAGCTTACCATGCAAACTAGAAGCTTCATAATTGATGTGTAACAAGAGCTAGCAAAGGTAAAACGAGGCAGAGCAAAGGGGTGATCAGGGAAGGCTTCCCTAAGGAGACAACATTTAGAAGACAGCTAGTGGAGGGAAAGCTCTAGTGTGGGGCTATCAGGGGCAGAAGTGCACCAGACAAGGAGTAGCTAATGCCAAGGCCCTGAGGCAGGAGTATGGATGAGCTAGATTAGCTAGAGCACAAGGAAAGAAGCCTACAGCAGGGACCAGGAACAAGCTATGCACAACCTTGCCAATCAGGGTGTGGAGTGGACTACACTGTATGGGAAGGGATCTGGACAGAAAGATGATTTCTTCTTCTTCTTCTTCTTCTTCTTCTTCTTCTTCTTCTTCTTCTTCTTCTTCTTCTTCTTCTTCTTCTTCTTCTTCTTCGTCTTCTTCTTTCTCCTCTTCTCCTCCTCCTCCTCTTCCTCTTCCCTTTTTTGTTTTGTTTTGTGATGGAAGTCTCAATATGTAACCCAGGTGGGGCCTTGAACTTGAATCCCTGCCTCAGCTTCCTGAGTACTGGAATTATAAGGATGAACCAACATGCCTGGCTTTCACTTATGCATTATAAAAGCATGAAATATAGGCAGAGAAACTAGGAATTTCCACAGCCTGGGGACCTGAGACCAGCAACATAAGATGACCAAGTAGCTGAATGTGATGTTGCTTTTGGAGATGGCTAGTTCGCCTTGTGGTGAAGAGAGAGAAGAATCCAGGATACACTCCACTCTTGTCTGAGCTCAGGATGAGTAATGATGGTGCCTTATTTTTAAAACAGAGCAGACAAATGCTTACAGTGTTGAATACTGCTCTGAAAGACAGGAACAGTCTCCTGAGAACAGAGTTTGGAAGTTCTGTAAAGGTTCAGATAAGGCTGTTTAAAATAGGATTTCATCCAGGCGCAGTGGTGCACGCTTTTAATCCCAGCACTCAGGAAGCAGAGGCAAGTGGACATCTATGAGTTCAAGGCCAGCACAGGCTACACAGTGAGACCCTGTCTCCAAAGAAAAGTGTTAAAATAGGATTTCAAAGATCTGAAGGAAGAGTTGTCTGTGCAAAGGCCTTGGGGCTGTTTGAGGGGCGCTAGCTTCAAGGTTGGGTGCCTGTGCCTATGTGGCAAGGCATCATGGCAAGGAGGAACAGAAATGAAGATCTGAGGTTGTCAGAGAGAAGCAGCCCTGCCAACCCAGCCCTGTTGGTGAAGCCTTCCAGGGAGGAAACACATAGCTGAGTCTTAAAGGATGCTTGGTGTAAGTTAACCAAGAGAAAGTAATAAGGAGCCTTGCTGGCTAGTTTTTTGTCAACTTGACACAAACTAAAGTCATCTGAGAGGAGGGAAACACAATCAAGCAAAAGCTTCCTTAAGACTGCAGGAAAGCTTGTAAGGCATTTCTTTAGTTAGTGATAGAAGGAAGAGGGCCCAGCCCATTGAGGGTGGTGCTATCCCTGGTGTCCTGGGTTCTGTGAGAAAGAAGGATGAGCCAGCCTCGAGGAGCAAGCCAATAAGCAGCTCCCCTCTGTGGCTTCTTCATCAGCTCCTGCCTCCAGGTTCCTGCCCTGCGTGAGTTCCTGTTCTGACCTCCTTCAATGATAACAGTGATAAGGAAGCTTACACCTAATAGACCATTTCCTCTCCAGGTTGCTTTGGTCATGGTGTTTCATCACAGCAGTAGAACTGAGTCACCCAAGGCTATCGCTGAAGCAGAAAATGCAAAGCAGCAGTAGCCCTCATGCATAGTCAGTGTGTAGACATGGGGCCGAGTACGGGTAGTGAAGTGAGCAGACAAAGCAGACCATGGTGGGGGGTGGGAGTGTGTGAGCACGGTGGTGACTGGTTATGAACCAAACAAGCAAAGGAGACTGCAGAAGATGGGAGCTGGTGACTCGGGAGAGAGTAGTATGACCTCCATTAGTTGTGTCCTGGATCCTAGAGGACTGTTTGGCCACCTGGGACACTTTATGATCCAAGCACTCGTGACAGCTCTATCAGAAACCCTGCTGCCAAGCCCCATTGCTCATTCCAACATCATTCATGCTCATGTGCACCAAGTCTCTGGCTTGAACATTTATGTAACCTCTGCAGAACCAGTGGCCCCAGCTTGCTCATCACCTTCACCATGACCCTCCAGTGAGCCAAGCCTGGGCTCTGACTTCAGAATTGGGGGCACGAGCAGTTATTGTTGCTGTTTATTAAGCAAGGCATTTTGATCTTTCTTCTTCCTTTACTTTTAACAGCACTGTATAGATATATTTATAATATAGAACATCTTGGGCGATATGGGAAGCTAAAACAAAGAAAGATGCTCGGAAGACCGCTGCTATTAGCATTTTCTTTCCAGTTTCCCACATGTTTTCAGAGAGGGTACTTCATAGAGATTTGACTTTTCCTTATTTTAACGAATGCATTTGTAACTTAACAACAACAACAACAACATCAAACTCCGAGGCCTGGAGATGTGACTCAAATATGCCGCTTTATTAGCATGAACAAGGCAGTGGGTCCTCTCCCCAGCACCACAAAAATAAAATGGAAACTTCTCATCTACTTTTGGAACGCAAAATGGTTTGGTTTATGCTAATTTTCCCCAAACCACTGCCGGTTGGCAAAGTACCAAGATGTGAATTTACTTCTCCATCTTATCCAGGGCACAGGAAAGGACAGTCGCGCATTAAAAGATGGGACATTTTCCTTGTTCATGATTTGTCCCCTACTTCCCAAAGGCTAGCCCTGGCTTGCCTCCCCCACAGCAGGCTGTGGAGGTGCCTCTTCCTCCGCTCTCCCTCACCATTTTTAAAGATCCTTCCCACAGAGGCTTTTACAAAAGTGAGTGTGTGTTGTTTAGAATTCCCTCCGTGACACCGGCTCCTGTGTCCAGACATTTGATAAGCAGTTATGGTCCCTCCCCCACTGGTATAGGAAGTAGGGCCTGACTGTGATTTGCATAAGCTCTTGCGATGGATATTTTTATCTGTGTCTCTTTCCGTTTTAGGTTGCACGAGCCCGAGAAGAATGCCAGGGAAATAACCCAGGTACAGTCTTTGGTGAGCTGCCCTTCCTGGGAAACTTGGGGTGTGATTTCCTTGCTCCAGCCGGAGTTGCAGATCTAGTTCTAAATTAAGACTCTGGGGGTAGGGAGGATCTGTGCATTACTGAATCACCCATGAGTCCTCTGCACCCTTTTCTCTGCTCCAGCCCACAGTCTGGGGACTGCTTGGTTCATTGCTGGCCATTGCACAACTCCCGGGGGTACCAAGAGCAAAGTGCCCCAAGCAAAGGGTGCCCTGGAATCAGATTACAGCCTCCTTTGTGTTGCGCATCCCTGCTCTACCAGCAGCAGCTCACTCCCACCTACTTGTGGCCTGGCTCTTCGCTGCCAGTCATTGCGGAGGCGGAAAGGCCCCGTGTCACTAATTACCTGGGTTACAAGGGCACCTTTCTTGACCTGGTAGCTTCTCCCTGCATTGATAAGGAGATTTTATAGGCAGCATTGTTAGTGTATACCCCAAACCCCAGAGTCCCATAATCTCTGTCCACCATGTCGGCTCTGGGCACACAGGGTCCCTCTGAGCCTGGTAACATGACAAGTCCTGTCCTGGACTTGGAATGAAAGCACCAGCTTTCCTGCCAGTCCCAGGGCAGTTGACACCACTTTAGGTGTCATCTGCTGACACAGCCAGGCTGAGAGAGATTCGGTGTTTGGAGGCTGGACGCCTTGTTTTGCTGCCCAGTCCCTACCTGCCCTAGGCATACGATGAGTGGCAATCCATCAGCAAATATAAAACAGTTTCTAATCATGGCAGCCAGAATCCTTTCCCCCGATACTTTGTTTTCGAGCTTCCTTCTGGAATCTTCTAGGTAAGAGATGATGATGAGAATTGGTTACTGAAGCCTGTAGAAATTCACAGCCCAAGACTTACTGAATATGCAACTAAGTGCCCAGACCCGGATCAAGGTGGCCACTTTTGCTTTAGGTTCCCAATGCTATCTGCTCAGGGAGGGACACCAGTTCAGTCCACATGATTTCCCGGACAGCTACCTACAGGGCTCAGGGTAGAGGTGCCACAGTATGGGAACTCCACCACTTTAGGGTCCAATAGGCTTTATCTCTTTTTTCAACTGAGTGACTTAGCCCAAATTATTGAATTTTCATCTACTCCATAGGTCACCTTTTTCCCCTTGTAAAATAGGGTCAGTAATTCTTCCTGAGCAGAGTTGTAGTTGAGCCTAAGCGACTGTGTGATTTCATCTAGCCAGCAAGCCACCTGTCTTCCTATCTATTCATCTTTCCATCCATCCTGTCACCATGGATTAGGCCTCTGTGCTAGCCTTGTTGTCTATGGTATAAAAAATGCCCAGTAATAAGCTGTGGGATAAACCAGGCAGTGGTAGTGTACTCCTTTAATCCCAGCACTCAGGAGGCAGAGGCAGGTGGATCTTTGTGAATTTGAGGCCAGCCTGGTCTACAGAGTGAGTTCCAGGACAGTCAGGGCTACACAGAGAAACTTTGTCTTGAAAACTGCTCCCCCCCAAAAAAAAAAGTTGTGGGATAAACATGAAAAATGAAGTATTCCCTGTCTCCTGGGAGATCACATTTACTAAGGTTACAAAACAGACAAAGTCTTTGGTGGCAGAGGCCATGATAAGGAGATGTGAGCTGAAGAGCTCAGAGGGGCTCTGGGCCCAGCCAGAGGCTTTGAGGGCCAAGAAGTAAGTACCTTAGGCTGGAGCAGGCTAGAGCAGAATTGTATGTAGTACACTGGATCTCTTACAAGGAGAAGTGGGGTTCGGTACTCCAGGCCAAGGAAAGGACATGGAAAAGGGGAGAAGAGAGCTGTGGTGGTTCCACTTAAAAAGAAGGAGATGACATGAAGCAGGGATATGAGATGACCACCTAGTGTCTCAGAAGACCCTTCAAGCTCTGTGTGAAGGAAGGTGAATTGAAGGGAGAAAGGCTGAAAATAAAATCACATTGGCAGGACCTGAATTAACTCTGAGTCCACTGGCAAAGTAGCAGGCAGACTTTGTAGTCAATTGATGGGTGAGCAGGATAGGGCTCCAGAATGACTTTCTCTCTGTGTCTTTTAGATCCAGGACACAAATGACATCAATGACATCACATATGCAGACCTGAATCTGCCTAAAGAGAAGAAGCCTGCCCCCAGGGTCCCTGAGCCCAACAACCACACAGAATATGCGAGCATTGAGACAGGCAAACTGCCTAGGCCAGAGGATACCCTCACCTATGCCGACCTGGACATGGTCCACCTTAGCCGGGCACAGCCAGGCCCCAAGCCTGAGCCCTCCTTCTCAGAGTATGCCAGTGTCCAGGTCCAGAGGAAGTGAATGGGACTGTGGTCGGCTCTAGGGCCCATATCCACATGTTTTCTTATCTCACATGGAGTGGCCATGATGAGGACAACCCCAGAAGGCCAGATGGCACAGGTCCTAGGACCAGGAGTAAGGGTGGCCTTTGTCTTCCCTCCTTGGCTCTCCAACATTTGTAGGACAGCCATGTCCCCTTCTTCTGGAGGCTGCAGAACCAGAGGGGGAACTGGAGGAAGCTTCCTGGAATCCAGGAAGTGTGCCTCAGCCCATCACACATGGGTCTGGATCCTGGTCTTGGCGACTCCAGGTTGCTTCCTTGATGCTGGTTCTCTGTGTGGAGAAGAGCCCCCCCCCCTCACCTCCACCCAACTTGAGCTGTGGGGCAAGAATTCCTTTAGATCAGACTGCCCCGTCCATGGAAGAACTACATCAGGAGACAGCAAGTTTTCAGCCAACAGCGCTGGCCTCCCACCTGCCAGGCTGACTAGCCCCGGGGGAGACGGAACCCTCTCTCCTAGACCAGCAGACTCCCTGGGCATGTTCAGTGTGGCCCCGCCTCCTTTCCAGTCCCAGCTTGCTTCCTCCAGCTAGCACTAACTCAGCAGCATCGCTCTGTGGACACCTGTAAATTATTGAGAAATGTGAACTGTGCAGTCTTGAAGCTAAGGTGTTAGAAAATTTGATTTGTGCTGTTTCGTTGTTGTTGGTTCATTTTTTTTCTTTTTCTTTATTTTATTTTATTTTTTTCTTAAGACAACAGCAGCAGCATCTTGGCTCTTTGTCATGTGTTGAATGGTTGGGTCTTGTGAAGTCTGAGGTCTAACAGTTTCTTGTCCTGGAAGGATTTTCTTACAGCAGAAACCGATTTTTCCAATTCCCAGAACTCTGAGGACCAAAAGGGATCCCTCAGCTGCTACTTTCAGGCACTCAGCCTCACTGGGACGAACCGGGCCCGGTTCTTACACAGCCACGTGACTGGCTGGCCTTTTCTTTGCCTCCATGGCTGCTGTGGTAAGTGCAGCCTTGTCTGACCCAATGCTGACCTAATGTTAGCCGTTCCATGTTGAAGGGAGAAGGTCAGTGACAACCTCCTTCACTCATAAACACCTCAGAGGCATGCAGAGAGAAAGGACGCTCGGCCAGCAGCCGGCGTTTAGCACTCTGAGGTGATCCATTATTGCCAGAAAACCTCAGCAGGGTCACCCTGGGACAGAACCTGGTCATAACTGACCACACAGCTGTGAGCCAGGGCAAACCCCTCTGTCACTGGCTAGCAAATCTAGGCAGAGGCTCTGTCTGACCCACACCCTTCAAACTGGATGCCGGGGCCTGGCTGGACCCATGGCAAATGGATGTTACAACCTGGCCATCTGGTCTTAACATGTAGCTCAGTAAGTTGAGACCCTAATGTCTCTGATCCCTGGGGATTCCTGGCTCGGTTATTCAAGTAAGAAACTGAGCCAACCTGCCTGTTTCTATAGGTGCAACAGGGGGATGTCAGGAACACAGCTCTCTAGGGTTGGTGACCTGATACTTCCCATGATGGCATCCAGGAGTTAGCTGAGCCAATAGACTGTGTTGGCAGCACTGGGCCGGAAAACCAGAAGTGTCTCTGACATTTGGGACCCTTGGTGGCCCTGCCATCTTCTTGGGCTGTCTTCTAATTCCAAAGGGTTGGTTTGTAAACCTCCATCCCTTTCCCCTCTGCCTAGAGACAGCACACATGAGAGTACACACAGGTGTATAGACCAGTTGAAAGGACAGCCTCTCACTGACATCAGATTTTGTCTTAAGTTTTTTTGGAGGGAGAAAGGGAATGAGGCAGGGAAGGTGTATAGCTATAGCTTTAGTGGGGCAGCCTGAAGGGCCCCCAAATGTATGTATGGAATCCTGGTAGAAGGAAGAGGCGAAAAACGCCCTGTGAGAGGAGTGGGATTCCAGTTTATCTGTAGACCAGATGAGAAGGAAACAGGCCCCATTTTGTACATAGTTGCAACTTAAAATTTTTGGCTTGCAAAATATTTTTGTAATAAAGATTTCTGGGTAACAATGATGCCTTTGGGTGTTGCAATCCTTGTCTTTGGGACCCTGTCCTTGGAGTCTGCCAGTTGCCTGTCCCCTGGAGCTGGGAATGAGGATGGACTGTGCCAAGGCTTCAAAACATTCTGTGTAACTTGGTCCCTTCCAGGCCTTACAGATGGGAGGGAGTCCCAAATGCAGATTTTATCTTTTCTCCACTACAGTTTTGTGGGGATTTGGACACTTTGCCCACCCACTTGCTACCTCAGGCACCTTGGATGTACATTGGGGTTTAATTGTGCCCCCTCCCAGGGTTCCTTGGGGATTAAAGGAACACCTGCTACAGCAGGTCCGCACTGGGTGTTGGGCTGGCCCTCTCTGCCTGCACAATGGAGTTGATGACCCCTGCCCTAGGCTTTCTATCTCTGCAGTAACACACTATGACCAAAAGGGACTTGGGGAGGAAAGGGTTTATGTAGCTTACACTTACACACATCATAGTCAATCATCGAAGGAAGTCAGGGCAGGAACTAATGCTGAGGCCATAGAGGAGATCCCCCTGTGGCTTGGCATCCCCTCAACCAGACCATGAGCTCCCCACCCCAGAAATTCACACCCCATCTTTAGTGCCCAGGCCCTAGAATAAGGGAGGCATTGGTCCACCTTGTGTGTTAGTCAGCTTTTTGTCACTGTGTCAAAACATCTGGAAAAATAACTTAATGCTCTAGGTTTCAGACATTTCTGTCTGCGGTTAGCTGGCCCCATTGCTGGGGGCCTGTGGCAAAACAGAACATAATGGCGGTGGAGGAGGAACATGTCAGCAGAAATTCCTTACCTCATGGCAGTCAGGAAGAAGGGTCTGAGACCAAGACATACCCTTCAAAGACATGCCTCCAGGGACATGCTTCCTCCATTCTGGCACCACCTCCTAATAATGCCAACAGATTATGACTATCAGACCTAGTTCTCATGGTCCATCCCCTCCCATTGATTCCACCCACCAGCTAGAGATGAAGCCTTCACCACATAAGCCTTTGGGGAGAGTTCTCTCCTCTCTAAGCAAAACAGTGTGCCTGAAAATCTTGTGGTCTTTTGCATTCTTCAGTTCATGGAGCCTTGGCAGATGGGTACTGTGATGTCCATTTCACAGGAAGGAAAATGTGGCTGGGGAGGTAAAGTGACACACTCCAGATCACTCGCTGGATTAATAACTGTTTCTCAAGATCCTGCTGGGAACCTGGCCTTTCGAAAAATTCTGAGAACGACAGTGGGCCACACCCATATGAGCTCATGGGGCAAGAGGAAGTGAGAGCCAGCAGTCCTAACAGCTGCTGTGACTGCCCATGGCCCAAACACAGAATGAGAACGTCAGCCAGGGAGCAAGGGTACCCTGCAGGAGGGCAGCCCTGCTGCCCAGAGGAGATGGATGCCCACAGGCTCTCACAAAGGGGATGTGAGAAAAAAAACGTCAAGTTAGAGATACAACATGTTTACAATCCCCAAGGCGATAAGCCAGATTTCAAGAGTTATCTTTCTTGCTAAACAAATTAGTTATCCCTCACCAAGACAAAATCTACAAATGGGCATATGTCATAACTTTATATAATCTGGGCTCTAATCAAACAACAGAAACAAGCTCAGGTGTCTTCCTTGTCAGGAGTGACTAATCCTTCAGTAGTGTGTTTAAAGACTGCTCTACTCTGATGAGGAGGAGAAACACCCCCTCCTTTTGCCTTACTTCTAAGTTGGGGGTACTTTTTCTTATTAGATGGAAACGCACGGATTTCCTAAGCCTGCATGAGGCAAAGCAGCTTTTGGAGAGGGAATCCCCAAGCTGAGACCCAAATGAGTCATGTTGTACAGGCAGAGCCCAGCCTTCCCTGCAGGTACTGGCCCCACCAGAGCTGAGAGCCCAGCCTTCCCTGCAGGTACTGGCCCCACCAGAGCTGCCCCACTTCGTGTTACTCTTTGTGTCACCTCTGCACAGGCAATCATCCTCCTGACAGCTTGGAAAATGGGCTACGGGGTCTTTGTACATGGTTGCTCTGCCCAGAAAGCTTACTTTCTACTTGCCCTCCAATCAGAAGAGTAAGCCTAGTTCATTTGTTAGACACGCCATAGCTGTCCAGCAATTCTTTGGAACCCAGATCACAATTTGTAATTACACATGGGTCTTGTTTTGGTTGACTAGCATCCCTCTCCTATGGTACCCTGGAGGCTGCCTGATTATAAATAGGGTATTGGACTATGTTCCTTAACGCAATTCCCATGACCAGCCCTAGATAGCATCCAACAAATAATTGTTTGGGGGGAGTGAGAGAATGGATAAAAGGGTAGGAGGATGCAGGATGAGTCGATGGGTTGCTAGATGAAAAGATGGATGGGTAAGTGGGTGGATGGATGGATGGACGGATGGATGGATGGGCAGGTAGGAAGACAGGAAAGAAAGGAAGAGGGAAGAGAAAGGACATAGTTTGAAGCCTATTTGGCATCTTAGGAACACTAAAACCCCCTAACTTCCAGGATAATCATTAGATTCAAGCTCTAATTTCCCAGCTTTTCCCACTAAACTTCTCTGTCATTTGTCATGGTCCTGGGTACATTTTCCCAACTGGCAAGGAGCCAGTGACACTTGTTTAAGCCCTTGGTGCCTCTTGTTGGGAAGCTGGGGCTATACATAGAAAACAGGATGAAAGAATACAACCACACTCAAATAAACTCAGGAAACATTTTAAAGGGCATACAAGATAAATATTTGAATTGCTGTTTTAAACATGATACTAAATAAAAGACATATTGTTGAGGCTGAGAGACAGCCTAACAATTTAGGGCACTTGTTCTTGCAAAGGACTCAGGTTCAATTCCCAGCCACCAGTAGCTCTAGTTCCAGGGGATTTGATGCCCTGTTCTGACCTCCATGGGCACTAAGCATGAATGTATTGCAATACTCACAGATAAAATATTCATATGCACAAAATAAATAAATAATAGATTTTAGAGAAATAAATTATTAAACTAAGATTTTCACTTTGTCATTACCATATACAAAAATCCAAATGGACAAAAGTTTAGATATAAAAGCTGACACTATAAAGCTCATCTAAGGAAACATAGGAGGAGGCTTAATGACTCTGGATATAAGAGTGACATTTTTGATATAATACCAAACCTCTAGAGAACAACAACAACAAAAACCCAAGTTGGACTTCATCAAAATTAATAACGTGCTAGGCATCATGGCACAAGCCTTTAATCCCAACATTGTGGGGCAGAGGCAAGCAGATCTCTTTGTGTTTGAGGCCATCATGGTGTTCACAGTAAGTCACAGGACATCCAGGAATAAATTGAAAGATCCCATGTCAAAAACAAAAACAAAAACTTAAACACTTATGTTCTTCAAAGGGCACTATTACCAAAATAAAAAGTCAACCTATTCAATACAAGAAAATAGTTATAAGTCATGCGTCGGCTAAGAAATTAACATACAGAATATATAAAGAATTCCTAAAAGCCAATAATAAAACTTTCCACATTTACCTCTCTGGCCTAGCCCACACTGACTTCCCTATCCATGTCTTCTCCCAAACCTGCCAGATCTAGTTTGGGTCTCACGTCTAATGCCCCAACCTGGTCTAACCATGCCTGCCTGCATTGCAGTCAGCCTAGACTTCCACCAGGACTCTCCCTACCTGTAACACTCCACAGATCTCTAGTGTAGCTCTTACAATCATCCTACCAAGTCAGACATCCCACTTCCTTCTCCAGGGTCTAGCCAGGTGAGTCTCCTTGGTCCCCCATTCATGCCTCTGCAGAGGAAAACCATGATTAGAATACTACCATATGAAAAAGAAATTTTTCAATGAATAAAAAAAGAAATTAAGGAGGAAGAACTTAGTGAATATAAATACCCGAGTGATGGGGAAAAAAAATTAAAAACCCACAGCATGAGGCAGATGGAAATGATAACGACAGGAAGGATTTGATAGTAACATTGGAAAGGACTTGATTTGAAATGAAGGTGAATTTGAAAACCTGATGATTTAACTGGAAAGATGTACAAGTAGAAAGAATCAAGCAGAGCTGGGTGGTGGTGGTGCATGTCTTTAATCCCAGCACTCAGGAGGCAGAGGCAAGTGAATCTGAGTTCGAGTCCAGTGTGGTCTACAGAGAAAGTTCCAGGACAGCCAAGGGTACATGGATAAACCCTGTCTCAAATAATGGTGGTGGTGATCTTGCCAGCTGCAACACTCTGGAAAGCAGGCCCTGTGCCTCATCTGGGCAGCATAGAGGAGCTGACCTTTGTTGATAAAGGTGTGAGTGAGAGATCTGACCCCACCTCTGCTGCCATATGACAGCATGGGTGGGAGAAAGACGCCTCCCCTTGCTTCTTGCCCCTCACTACCTGTGACAGATAAAGGAGCTGACCCTCCCCCTTGCCAGATACAGCACTAGGGAAAGAGGGCCCTGCACCTTGCCTGGGCAGCACTGTGGAGCTGACCCTATTGGTTGGGGTGCTGGTGAACCAGATCCAAGAATGCAAACTTGGGAGAGCTGGCCCTGTCTCTTATCGGCCATATGGTGGCTTGGGCTGGGAAGAGATTTCCCCACTCCACCCCACTCCCATCCCTCTCTGCCTGTGCAGGTGGAAAAGTTGGCCCTGACATAGAGAGAGAGAGAGAGAGAGAGAGAGAGAGAGAGAGAGAGAACCTGATGGTGTAAGTGTGGGTGAGGGTAAATGGAGTTCTTAATTGGTCTAGATAATAAAAACTTGGAGTCAGATATAGAGGGAAATGCTGAGAGATCAGAGAGAAGGAGCAAGCCACTGCCACACCTTACCTCTTAGCTACCTCACTTCCTGTCTGTCTGTACAGACCTCCAGACCTTTATGGTTAACTAGTGGCAAGCTCCAGTTTTTAACCTTCAGACAGGCTTTATTTGTACAAGCAAGATGTCACCATAGGAGAGCCCACCCTGAGGACATGAAAGCAGGAGGAGCAGTCTCGACCCTTGCTCATCACTGCAAAAGGTGAACTA